GCACCAAGCTCCTGCCACTTCCCAAGGACACCGCCGTGGGACGAGCTGGGCCCAACCTTTGTGTGGCCTTAGGAGCAACTCCAAGCCCCCTGGTAAGAACTGCGCTGCGGGGGCCATTCCCAGTGGGGCGCCCTTGAGCTGTCATTGCAAACTGGGCAGTCAGTGAGCATCACATGGACCTTGTGACCCAGGGGACTTGGCCAATGTCCAGAACAATGGGTCAGGTATGTGTCCGCACAGAGAATTCTCCTGAACACTGCAGCAGAGATGTTCCTGAGAGTGTTATTTACAGAAGTGGAATCTGGGAAATAGCCTCAGTGTCCAAAAAAGGGAAATACTAAAATAAAGCAGAGAACGACAATGAGATGGAATATTAGACTCAATTAAACTGAGGTTGCAATTAATTATGAAAGACTCGGGAAACGGGATTACAGTAGGTCAAATTTTAAAAATTAGGATAAGATGCTAGCTATGGAGTATCTATTGGAAAAAGACTGGAAGAAAACAAACCAACACATGTAACGGTGATGATGTCGAGATGGTGGGATTAAGGGTGACTGTTGCTTTCATTTTCATACCAACTTCCCATGATTTGAAAAATGATCTCCAAGGAGCACCCGCTGCACTTATAACCATAATTCTGTTTTATAATGATCCCCGCTTAAAGTCACCTTGCATGAAGCAAGGGAAGGGACCAATGTCTTTAGAGGTTAATCCACTTGTCCAAAATCACACAGCCAATACTCATTCCACACATTTTGGCTGGTACCAACTCAGATGCCAGGTGCCGTTCTGGGCCTGGAGGAGGCAGCAGTGGACACAGACAGAGAGCTGGACTGCACTTTCCAGCCTCCCTTGCAGTGAGGTGTGGCCATGTGAGTAAGTCTCGCCTACGGAATGAGAGCTATCTTCTGGAACTCTTAGAGTTCAGCTTGTTTTTTCTTCCCAAGTCAAGAATTAGAACGTTGCCAGGACCCAGGAGCACCCTGTGTTTCCTTCTCTCCCTCCCTTAGAGATAACCACTAACCTGATTTTGCAATAACCACTTTCTGGCTTTTTACGCACCTTCCCCGTGCATTCCTAAACGATACAGTTGGTGTGCCTGTTTTTGAGTGTTACATGATGGGATTCATACTTTCTTCTGTGCTTTGCTATTACTCCAAATGTCTGAGATTTATCCATATTGTTGCCCGGAACCGGAGTTCATTTTCATTGTGGGATACTATTCCACTGTAGGAATACACACCAACTCTACCAACAACAGATGTTGGGTTGTCTCGAGGTCTTGCTTACCAGGAACAACGCTGCTGAGAAGATTCCTGTCCATGTCCCTTGGTGCACACATGCACAAGTTTCTCGAGAGTAGACGCCCAGAAGAGAATGGCCGGGTCTTAGGTTGTGCACAGGTCCAGGCTTACGTGATAATTTCCGTTTTCCAAAGTAGTTATCATAGTATCGTCAGACTTTGTGTATACTGAATATAAGAACGGTATCTCACCGTCTCCTTGTTTTGCATTTTCTTGATTACCAATAAGAGCGAGCAGCTTTTCTCATGATTACTGCTCATTTGTGTTCTTCGTCTGGGAAATGACTGTCTTTTTACATTTTCTATGGGGTTATTTGTCTTTTTCTTATTGTAGCTCTTTATATATTCTGGATATTCATTACTTCTTGGCTAAATGTGTTGCAGATACATCCTTCAAGTTTGTGGTTTGTCTTCTACTTTCTTCATAGCAATTTTTTTTTTTTTGGTGAGGAAGATTAGCCCTGAGCTAATATCTGCTGCCAATCCTCCTCATTTTTTTTTTTTTGTGAGGAAGATCAGCCCTGAGCTAACATCCAATGCCAACCCTCCTCTTTTTGCTGAGAATGATTGGCCCTGGGCTAACATCCACGCCCATCTTCCTCTACTTTATATGGGGCGCCGCCGCAGCATGGCTTGATACTTGGTGTGTAGGTCCGTGCCCAGGATCCAAACCTGTGAACCCTGGGCCGCTGAAGTGGAGCATGTGAGCTTAACCGCTACGCCACTGGGCTGGCCCCTTCATGGCAATTTTTTTTTTTTAATTTTATTTATTTATTTTTCTTCCCCCAAAGCCCCAGTAGATAGTTGTATGTCATGGCTGCACATCCTTCTAGTTGCTGTATGTGGGACACAGCCTCAGCATGGCCGGAGAAGCGGTGTGTCAGTGCGCGCGCGGGATCCGAACCCAGGCCGCCAGCAGCGGAGTGCACGCACTTAACCGCTAAGCCACAGGGCCAGCCCGGCAATTTTTGATGAATAGAAATTCTTAATTTTTAATGTAGTCTAGTTTATCCAACTTTCCTCTTATGGTTTGTATCTTTTGTGCCTTCAGAAATCTTTACCTACCATGAAGTCCTAAATATACTATTTTATATTTTCTAAAAGTTTTCAAGGTTTTTTTTAAATTTCACTTTTAAATCTTTAACCCACCTAGAAAGGCTTTTCCTCCATGGTGTGAGGTAGGGTTCCAGTTTCACTGTTTCCATGTGGATAACCAATTGTCTCAGTGCCATTTACTCAATAGACCATCCTTGCTCAGCTGATCAGCAAGGCTACCTTTGTCAAAAGTCAAATGTCCTTATATGCGTGAATCTGTTTCTAGCCTCTATATTCTGTCCCATTGGTCAATTTGCTTAGCCCTGTACCAACACAACACTGTCTTTAATTCCTATAGCCTTATGATAAGAATATTTCTTGATGTAGTTACACCATTCAAGGACTCTAGGTTAGCACCTTAAAGATCAGCTGGTCCAACCATCCATTGAGAAACAGAGGCTCAGAGAGAGAAAGCATCTTTTACCGTGTCACACAGCCTAACTAAGAACACTGTTAAGAACTGAATGTTTGTGTCCTCCTCCCCCAAAAAAAGTCATATGTTGAAATCTAATCCCCAGTGCGATGGCATTTGGAGGAGGGGCCTTTGGGACATAATTAGGTCACGAGGGTGGAGCCCTCATGAATGGGATGGGTGCCCTTATAAGAAGAGGCCAGAGAGCTAGCTTCTTTTCTTTCTGCCACATGAGAATAAAACGAGAAGTCTGCAGTCTGCAGTCCAGAAGAGGGCCCTCACAAGAACCCGATTGTGCTGGTGCCCTGATCTCAGACCTCCAGCCTCTAGAACTGTGAAATAAACTTCTGTTGTTTACAACACACCCAGTCTGTGGTACTTTGTGATAGCAGCCCAAATGGATTAAGACAAACACCCGTCTCTCACCCTGGAGGATACTCTTGCGCATTTCAATACAGCAGCCACCGGCCACATGTGACTACTGAGCACTGGAAACATAGCTAGTCCAAACCGTGATGGGCTGTAAGCATAAATGCACACCAGGTTTCACAGACTTGCGGTGAAAAGAATAATGTAAAACATCTCATGAATAATTTGTTTATATTGATTACATGTTGAAGTGATAACACATTGGATACAAAGAGCTAACTAAAACATATTCTTAAAATTAATTTCACCTGTTTCTTTTTACCTTTTCATGACAATGAGATGGAATATTAGCCACACATTAAACTGAATGGCTAATAGAAAATTTAAAACGACATCTGTGGCTTATATGACCTTTCTATTGGATAGCACTGGTTTATACTATTAAACTCACTCAGTCGAGATGCCCTTATTAAGGACCTACTTTGTGGACTGCACGGTAGTAAGCGTTGAGCACTGAGGAAGGGAACAGACACAGCTCTGGTCGATGCACTCTGTTTCCTCGACCGACCCATCACCCACAGAAGCTTATCAGCCCAAGAATGAAAGAAGCAGCTCATGGTCCAGCCCCCCGCCCAGCTGAAGAGCTCTATTCCAGGTATGGGGGGGCAGCACCGGTGTCCAAATCTAGACATCATTCAGAACAACCCTCGTGTCTTTACAGATCAACCAGCTGAGGTCCAGAATTGTTGAGACACCTACCCAAGATCACACAGCAGGTGCGGGACAGGCGAAGGCCCATGGCAGAAGCTTCAGAACTTCGTCCTAGCATGTCTGCATCTGTAGCCTCGAGCCCCGTGCTTCTCCCTTCCCATGGAGCAAATACTCCACCAACTTGCATCTCACAACAGCACACAGGACGCTTGAGAATGAACCTTTGGAAGCCTGGGTGCCCACACCAGAGAAGACCCTGAAGATGTGTGCAGCCAGACCCTCCCACCTCCCAGCCAAGAGAAAATCTTCAGGAACTCCTCCTCAAATCCTTCCCCCGAGCAACCCCTTTCCTGGTGGGACTCCCCAACTTGATGAAGGAGACACTCACAAGGCCCCCAGGAGGAAATGGAGAGAGAGACTGAGGGGGAAAGGGCCCAGTCCTGCCTCCTGCCTGCCCTGCCCCCATGCCACGCTCAGCCTGCGCCTCTGGGGTCAAGCTGTGTTCAGTTTGACCTGAACTTGTAAAGACTTCATGGGACCAGAGATCTCAACAACTGCCCAGAGACACGGAGGAGAAGCCACATGGCTGAGGATATCACAAATGATGCCAATCCAGCTCAAATTCACCACCTGCCCACTCCACCCACGGAGGCTGGAGACCTGAGGGGGAGGGGGAGAGAGCAGAAGGGCAAGGCAGGCTGGGTGCCCCCTCCGTGAACCTGGTGCTGGGGCAGGAGGCAGAGGTCCAGGGGGCTGCACTCCCGAACAGCCTGTCCTCCCCCAAGAAGACCCCTGGGGGCTGATGGGCAACTTCAGGAACGGGTTTTCAGGCCAGCTTTCAGGCAAGCCCACCCCCCAAAATCTTAGAGAAATTTACTAATTGTGACCCCCCCCCAGCCTGTTAATTGGGAATCAAAGTGACAGGAGCTTGGCTTCCACTCAGCAATCCAGTGGGACTATCTGTCATCACATTTTAGGACAAGAAACTGAGGCTGGGGGTGGGGAGGAGGACCACGGACCTCACCTCACACTGTGAAAGGCCAAGATGTACAGGCAGCCCTTCCTAGGTCCTGAGCCTCAGTTTCCCCACCTGAAAACTGCACTTACCCATTCCTCTTGCTTGCTATGAGGGTGGTCAGGGGTGGCACAAGGGGACAGGGGTGGTTGGAGGGGGACAGAGTGCTAGGGGGGTGTATGGGAGGGGGGCAGGAGTGGTGAAAAGGGACAGGGGTGGTGCAAGGGGACAGGGGTGGTGTAGGGGACAGGGGTGATGTAGGGGACAGGCATGGCAGGGAGAGGGGGACAGGGGTGGTGGTGGGACAGGGGTAGTGAGGTGGACAGTGGTGGTTGGGGGTACAGGAGTGGTTGGGAGGACCGGGTGGTGTGGGGGACAGGGGCGGTGCGCAGAGGGGGAGGGGACAGGGGTGGCGCAGCGGGGACAGAAGTGGTGCGTGCCAACCCCTTTCACCATTGACTAAAGCGCCGGGTAGACCTTGAGTGATTACTCTGCTCCGGGCCTATGCAAAGTGCTTTCCAGGGATCATCTCACTTAATCCTCGCGGGGCCCCCGGGGATGGGGATTCTCATTATCTCCGTTTTGCAGACCTGGAAATTGAGATTCACAGAGGGGGAGCGACTCGCCTCGGAGTTCCTGGCTAAGAGAGGAGGCGCTGGGAACCCCCGCTGCCCCCGGGTCCAGGTGGCAAAGCCGCGCGCGCGCGGAGCCTCTTACAAAGACCACGACGTCTCGTTCCTGGTTTCTTCTAGCCGGGGTTAGGGTCCGTTTATTAACTGGAACTCTCCAGGCGGCGGGGGAGCAGGAGAGCCGCGGCCGCGCCTCCCCGCGCCCCGCGCCCCGCCACTCACCTCGCGTACTTCGTCTTCTGGAAATCCAGGAGCCGGGGAGCGAACATCGCGGCCGTTCCATCAGCGTCCAGCCCCGGGCGCGGACAGCGGA